CGGCAGAGAACACTGTGGATCGCGGGTCGCAGTTGAGCAAGGACGACGATGACGACGAGGACGACGAGGACGACGAGGACGACAAGGACGACAAGGATGACAAGGAGGACGAGGAGGAGGAGGAGAGGAGGAGGAGAAGGAGGAGGAGGCAACTGACATAAAATCTAACAACCCTCACCTGGCAGGTGGGGAATAACCATAGTGTATGATACGCAACTAAATATATTTGGATGGGGTTATAAGCCAATTTATAACTGGAGCCATCAAATATCAGGTATCAGAGATTCAACTAATCATAGTTGGGTTCTAAATATCTGATATCATAAAATCTTTAGCCATTATTACTTATAATTTGGATATTGTCAATCTAAATTAATCTACTATAGTTCAAGGCTTCCATCTGCCGTGCCTTGGGGTCCAATTGGATCTCCTGGGTCGAGAAGGTTTTGAAAATCCTGCGGCCAGGGCACTTGGGCCGAGACCCACACCAGGAGAAACATGCCAAAACGGTTGCTTCAGTGCAGTTTTTCCTGAGATTATATTGGGATAATGATGGTTTATGATCGGTTTATGGGATATTGTCCAACCCATTTATATATATATACATTCATCGAACAAAACAGAAACTAACTTACAAACAAGAAACTCTACATATCATGGACATTCATGGGCTCGAAAATTGACCATCTAAAACCCGTTGGTGTCCATGACATGAAGGACAAGGACATGGTAAACACGGAGGTGAATGACCGATCACAAGTGGTACTGTAAACATGGGCATCTTGAAATTATAATGAATTATACTAGTATATATGGGTGTGTCTGAAAAGGCGGTGTACCTCCCAAATTGTCATTGTAAGAAGGATAAAGACGGTTGCAACTAATGGATTTAGGATGGATTTAGGGATACGTGATTTCAGACAAAACCACATACAACAATATAATTACTGTAAGTTCATATCAAAGCTGTAGAAGTAGGGGAGTTCAATTCTCCAGTATTTCTGGGCTCTTCAATCTTAGAGCCCCAAATAAAGGCGGAGACAGAGACAGAAATCGCAGCTGAGCAACTTGTCCAAGCTGGCACATAGCCTTGGCAATTCTCCGACTGCGTTCAAGCGTGACCCTGGAAAACTGGTTGCCCCCGCACAAAAAAAATGCAGAAACTATAACTATATACAACATGCTATACTATACTTTACTATACTAAACTATACTATACCATACACTATACACTATACACTATACACTATAGACTATACGCCGCCATACCCTATACGCTATACGCTATACGCTATACCCTATACCCTATATACTATACACTATATATAATAAGATATTCTATATACTGTATACTGTATACTATATACTATGCTAATATATATATATATATATATATATGTGTATGCCTGAAATAAAATGACAGAAAATATGCTAGAATATAAGCAAACGAAAATAATATAACGCAATAATAAAAAGGTAAACAATCATGAAACAAAATAAAGCATAGTAAACCTTAACATAATATATAATGCAATATAAAATAACAAAATAGCATAATGTAAGAAACTACAATATAATATAACCGAAAAATACAATACATTAAACCATAACAAAATAAAATACAATCTAATATAGTAAAACAAAATATAATACAATATTATATCAAATTCTATAATGTAACATGATTTGTACAAAACATGGCATAGTAAAATATAATGAGATTATATATATATAAAAGATATGGTATAATCTTTAAAAAAAAACCTTTTATAGACACAGTTTAAACATTAAAAAACACGTATAACCTGGTACAACACATTAAACTGGAAAATATTGTAACATGATATGATGTGAACTAAAAAACACAATTTAATATAGTTTTTTAAAAAAAAACTACAGTAACATAAAAACAATATATATATATATATATTTGATAAAATAACATAATATGATAATATAATATAACATAATATGTTAAATCAAAACAAAATAGCTTATAGTATCATAAGTCATTTCAAAAAAAACAGTCATTTAATGACATATTATTGAATATAAACTCACGGGACAATATGTTGAACAACAAGAAATAAAAATGTGTCATGTGAAATAACCCAATGAACAACTATAGTATAACCATATAATAATACATGTAGTGTAATATAATGTTACACAATATTATGTAGTACAAGCTAAAACAATAACACATCATACAAATTTATGTCATATTATATAATTAAGAATAATATAGTAAGTACACATATACATATATACATATAAACACATTATGTATTCATAGTAATATTTGTTTCAAACAATACTATGTATACATCAATGATATAATTGCATACATATGCACATTATTGAATAGTTTATATATATATATATGATAAATATTATATATACAAATATAATTGTATTAGTACTGGGCAGACTGATTTTGAGGATATGGATGCAACCCTTGCAACCATATCCATGTCCTTACAGGTTGTTGCCGGACAGTCCCTGAAGCTGAGGGATGCGCATGGCTCCGTGCTGTATTGTGTCTATCCAAATCTATCTACCGGAATCTACCGTGAATGTAGCCAGGGAAATTACTAGCCTATATCCAATTACTATCTATATCCAATCCAACTACTATCCTTTTGATTACCTCAACCGAACCAATAGATCAATAGATCCCTTGACCTACTGACAATTGCTTGACAAATGGCAGCCTGGGGACACGTTCGCGCCCATATCAAAGCACTCCGTCACCAATTGATATCCATCCCGAACTGCCATGACGAAATGACCACATGTTTTTCTTTGCATTGCTTACGGTGCACTATGTAAGCAATGTCCCTACAACCGAGCGCTTCGTGCTTCTGATGGATTTGTTCAAAAAAAGGCCGCCACAAAATCCCCTCGGTTCATCACCATTTTCCCCCCCTGACCCTCTCCGGTCCGACGCCGGAAATCCCTGGCCATCGGGCCATCGTCAGGAAACTTCGCGACATCTGCAGCCATTGAGAGGCGCCCTGCACAGGAAAGTTATGGCACCATGGCTCCGCCGGGCGATGCTCGGCCAATTTTTTTGCCGATGGGAAGCCCCAGGCCCCAGGTGAGTGTCACTTGAACCGCAAGGGTAGCCAAAGTCTTCGCGGGATGGACGGGATAAACAATTGTTTGTTCCAATAGTTAAAAAAATATTATACGATCCAACTGAGATCATCATCCTAGTAGGACGAAAAAGACATCTTTGGAATCAGCAAATGGCCGGAAACACAACAACATCAATACGGGAAGGATCCTCCCGTCATAAGTTGGTTCACAAGCCTATCCAACTATTGATACACCGCATTGGTTTGAACCCCGGTTACCCTAGTTGTGAACCAATCGCGTTTGACGCGACCTGCTTGCAAGACTAACAGCAATGAACCATAATCAACCTATGGAGTGTTTGAACCCACCCTGACATGAAACAGAAATACCCTGCTGAGTACCCCATTAACATATTTATTAACTGTATACTGTATATGTTTATATTCATCCATCCATCTGTCTTATATGAACATTTAGGATGTTGACCTCTAACGTTGTTGGAGTTGGGCTCCCTGAATTTTGCTCAAGTTCTGAAAAAACCACCTGTGGAAAGCTGCCACATTTTCAGCTGCCGTTTTTCTGATCAGGTTCCGGCGGCCCCAGGGCCCTAGTCTGTGACAAATCACCGACCAAAAAGAGGGGCACAGGCGCTGGGTCTCGTGACATAATTCACTGCAGCCCGGCTGGGCATATTCATGTGCATTAAACATCCGTGAGCTATTCAAATTACACACGCACAAACGTACAGTCGGTGAATGTGAATATACATATACATATTATTACACACAGACCTGGAGGTTTGCCCAAGCCCAGAATAGCGTAAATACCAGGGAATTCTGTACGACGTCAAACAACAGGAAGGACTTGAGGTTCAATTATGTTGTTAGGGTGTTAACCAGAACATGTTGTTTCTACATATCATCAAACCAGAACATGTCGCTTCTTTATACCTATCATATGGAATTAGCCATACATAGCCATACAGTTATTAGGGTTTTGTATAGGGGTTTTCAATGAGATAGTAGAGATCCCCCGCCCCCATGGAACAATTAACCATGCAGTGATTAGGGTTTCTTATAAGGTTTCAAGCAGATATCAAACATATCCGGGCCCCATGGAACAATTAACCATACAATGATTAGCATTTCTCATAGGGTTTCAATAAGATATCAAAATCCCCGGCGCCATGGAAGAATTAACCATACAATGATTAGCATTTCTTATAGGCTTTAAGAAGATATCAAAATCTCCGGCGCCATGAAACAAGTAACTATACAGTCATGAAACAAGAAACTATACTAGGCTTTCAAGAAGATAGAAAATTCCTGCCCTCATGGAACAATTAATCATCGAAGGAAGTTTAGAAGTCAAACTTCCGACAATATGGACAGATGAAAAGCAGAGATGGGCAGAGGCAGAGAGAAGAGAAGAGTAGAAGAGAGCAGATCAGAGAAGAGAAAGAGTCAGAAGAAAGAAGATGCAGATGCGCGAAAAGGTAGGAAAGTCGCGAACCACTGTGTTTTTTCAATGATTTGTGGCTCCAAAGGGTCGAAAAGTAGGCTCGCTAAAGCGGCGGGTGCGGAGCCATCTGGCCAGGCAAAAGATGAAAAATTGCACGCTGTTGTGGCGCAAAGCACATTTCCAAGTCAAAATGTAAAAAACACACCAGGTGCGGACCACTGTTGGAAGTTGAGAGTGCACGCCGTCGTGGCGCGAAGCACATTTGGAGGTCAAAATGTGCAAAACACGCCAGCTCCGGACCACTTTTGGAAGTTTAGATATCGAAAAAGTGCACGCCGTTGTGGCGCGAAGCACATTTTGAAGTCAACATGTTAAAAACACTAGGGGTTCGGACCACTTTTGGAAGTTCAGATGTCGAAAAAGTGCACGCCGTTGTGGCGCGAAGCACTTTTTGAAGTCAAAAGTGCAAAAAAACTGACGTGTACGGAACACTTTTGGACGTTTGAAGAAGTCTCGCAGAAGTGCTTCGTTTGTGATGTTGTCAACTTTGACAAATGAGGAAGTCTCGCAGAATTGCTTCGTTTTTGATGTGGTCAAGTTCAAAAAACGAGGAGGTCTCGCAGAATTGTTTCGTTTTTGATGTTGTCAACTTCAAAAACTGAGGAAGTCTCGCAGAAGTGCTGCGTTTTTGATGTTGTCAACTTGAAAAAATGAAGATGTCTCGTAGAATAGCAAGGTTTTCAAGCTTGCAGATAGATAGACAGACAGACAGACAGACCGAGAGAGATAGATAGATAGATAGATAGATAGATAGATAGATAGATAGATAGATAGATAGATAGATAGATAGATAGATAGATAGATAGATAGATAGATAGATTAGATTAGATTAGATTAGATTAGATAGATAGATAGATAGATCGATAGATCGATAGATCGATAGATCGATAGAAAGATAGATAGATAGATAGATAGATAGATAGATAGATAGATAGATAGATAGATAGATACATAGATACATAGATAGATAGATAGATAGATAGATAGATAGATAGATAGATAGATCGATAGATAGATAGATAGATAGATAGATAGATAGCTAGATAGATTAGATAGATTAGATAGATTAGATAGATAGATAGATAGATAGATAGATAGATAGATAGATAGATTAGATAGATTAGATAGATTAGATAGATTAGATAGATTAGATAGATTAGATAGATTAGATAGATAGGGTAGGTAGATAGATAGATAGATAGATCGATAGATAGATAGATAGACAGATAGATCGGCAGGTAGGTAGGTAGATAATCAGAGAAAGAGAGAGAAAAAGAGCAAAAGAGAGAGACAGAGTGAGAGAGATAAATCACCTTTCAGTCCATCAGTGGATTCGCTCTGCCATCCGTGAGTCACAACAACCAACCTCTCCTATAGGTTTCCTTTTTTTGAAACTTCCGCCACCGCCTTGTGCGGTACTACAGGTACAAACATTAAGGTTCTTTTTGGGTTTCCATTAGATATCAAAATCATTCAAAATCCACCGGCCCCCATGGAACAATTATTCCTGCAGTCATTTTGTGTTTCTTAAGGTTTCAAAAGATATCAAACACATCATCATCATCATCATCATCATCGTCATCATCGTCATCGTCATCGTCATCGTCATCATCATCGCAATCATCATCATCATCATCATCATCATCATGATCTCGTCATCATCATTGTCATCTTGGCTTGCCCGGACGCTAGTTGCGAGTCCAGGCGAACAGGGTCTTGCCGTGTTCTTAATATACATATATACATACACGTGAACCGTGAACATAAATATGAATATACATATTTATATTTATATACACATACATACACAAATGTATGCGTATGAAAAAAAGGTAGAGATAGATAGATAGATAGATAGATAGATAGATAGATAGATAGATAGATAGATAGATAGATAGATAGATAGATAGATAGATAGATAGATAGATAGATAGATAGATAGATAGATAGATAGATAGATAGATATAAATAGATAGATAGATTAGATAGAATAGATAGCTTAGATAGATTAGATAGATTAGATAGATTAGATAGATTAGATAGATTAGATAGGTTAGATAGATTAGATAGATTAGATAGATAGCTAGATAGATAGATATTAGATAGATAGATAGATAGATAGATAGATAGATAGATAGATAGATAGATAGATAGATAGATAGATAGATAGATAGATCGGCAGGTAGGTAGGTAGATAATCAGAGAAAGAGAGAGAAAGAGAGAGAAAGAGAGCAAAAGAGAGAGACAGAGTGAGAGAGATAAATCACCTACGAGACACGTATTAAAAAAAAAAATATAAATGCATCAAAAAAAATATCCAGCACGCATCAAAAAAAAATATATATGCATCAAAAAAAAATATCCTGGTGCCACTGTGTGAGACCTCACGGGTTTCGTGCTGCAAACCTAGATCAAAAAAAAAATATCCGTATCAAAAAAAAAATATCGTCGTAGTAGTAGTAGTAGTAGTAGTAGTAGCAGTAGTAGTAGTAGTATAGGAGTAGCAGTTGTAGTAGTAGTAGTCGTAGTAGTAGTAGTAGAAGTAGTAGTAGTAGTAGTGGTAGTAGTAGTAGTAGTAGTAGCAGTAGCAGTAGCAGTAGCAGTAGCAGTAGTAGTAGTAGTAGTAGCAGTAGCAGTAGCAGTAGTAGTAGTAGTCGTAGTCGTAGTCGTAGTCGTAGTCGTAGTCGTCGTCGTAGTCGTAGTCATCGTCGTAGTCGTAGTAGTAGTAGTAGTAGTAGTAGTAGTAGTAATGGTAGTAATGGTAGTAGTAGTAGTAGTAGTAGTAGTAGTAGTAGTAGTGGTAGTAGTAGTAGTAGTAGCAGTAGTAGGAGCAGGAGCAGCAGCAGCAGCAGTAGCAGTAGCAGTAGCACATAGGCACAAGTCTCGCTGGATATCAACAAAGATGAAATTAACCCAAATAAACGATGATGTTTATGCAAAAAGAAAGGAATAGTAGGTAGCAAGGGGAACCGGTTTAAAAATAAAAGCGGGTGGGGGGTGCAGGGGGGAGGGCGCAGCGCCTCCCCCGCAAGCGTTGACCAAGCGAGGAAGCAAAATAGGCCAAGTCTCAATGGATTTATATTGCAAAGTAAGAAACGAGAATATCAAGAAAGAAGCACTTAGCACAAGTCTCGAGGATATCAACAAATGATTGAAAATTCACCAAAAATTTAAAACGTGATTGCTTATGCAAAAAGAAGGAATAGTAGGTAGCCAGGGGAACCGGTTTAAAATAAAAGCGGGGTGGGGGGGTTAGGGGGGAGGGCGCCAGGCGCCTCCCCCGCAATGCGTACCAAGAGAGAAGCCATAGGCACAAGTTCTTTCAATGGATATATTGCAAGTAAGAACGAGAAGATTCCGGAAAGAGGCACATAGGGCAGACGGTCTCGATGGATATTCAACAACAATGAAATTAACCCAAATAAACGATGATGCTTATGCAAAAAGAAAGGAATAGTAGGTAGCAAGAGGGGCCGGTTTAAAAATAAAAGCGGGTGGGGGT